AAATTATTCAGATTAGAGCACTATAGCATATCTAAATCAAGTTATTGTAACAAATTTTTTATATTTGTGAAGGGTATCACAGCTTCGGTGCAACCCAAGTTAACGTTTTTTCTTGTTGTTATGTTAGGTTACATGCCAGGTGTTTAAATAAATTCACTCTTGGGAGAAATATTTTGAGTCGATGTGATATTAAATGTTTAACGATTTTTTATTTCTTTCCAATTTGCTTTCTGCCTTAACTTTATATTTTAATAGTGTTCTTGTTTGATTTAATCATTGCCTGCTCTAACATAAGGCACACCTAAGGGCAATAGCCAGTCATTAAAATCTCTTGTAAGCCTATGCCTATAAAAATTAACTTTAACTTAGTACGCGAGCAGCAAATTCATGCGATAATAAATAGACTTCCTGCTTACATTAAGCATGCGAAATAGATCCCCTTAAATTGCCAACAAAAGCACAATTTTATTTCAGCTTCAACTAATTAACAACACAATCTTTTATCTGCGAATTAATTCATTCACGCGCACATTAATGTCTCCGGGGAGCAAATAAATTCGTGCCACGAACAACAGGACCACATACACATACATATGTATACATTTATATGTGCTTAGGCAAAGGGCATTTTAGCGCCGTAAATATGTCGTAAATTCTGTAAGCAATTTGTAAATTTTACCAAACATACCCCAAAGCTGCAGCACTCTCGGCGGAATTGTCGCCAAATGGCATCGGGAAGACCAGGACCAGGTGCTACGCATATTTATGAAATTACATATCGGCTAATGTGTAACAAGATGGGGACGGGAGTGTGGAGCGAAGAGAAAGTAAAGCAACCACTATTCTTCGTGTGTGCTGCGCTTGCTGGCACGCAGCTAAGTAATTTTATATGAATTGTGTATGTGTGTGTGCGTTTAACATGAAATATGTAAGTAAATGAACACTTAACACCTGTAATGCCCCGCAGCGGCATGGCAATTTAATGACCACAGGAAAGAGGCAATGTCGTTGGCTGCGGAACACGCACACACACAAACTCACATTAAAGTATACATATAAATACATATAAGTCAGTGGTCGGCATTTTATAGCACAATTAGGCAAGTTTGCAACACACTTACACTTACGCTCTATTATTTAGTTGTTCTGGAGACAGGGTATGGCTGTGGTGCTAAGCCTAACCATTTGAGGTTAGGGTTATTATTAGTAGATATGATGATATAAAGGCATCCGTACTACGTTCGAGTGGCTACGGAAATTTCTTAACATAAATTTTTAAAACTAGATCACATTATCGTCAGTTGATGAAGTATATTTAAATTCCTTAAGATGCCGCGCAAATTGATCAATATATTCCTTATCAAATCATATTTAGTCACAGTGGGTCTTATGTTTGGTAGAAAAAGGATTGTCCGATTTATAACTTTTAATACTCTCGCAACATTTTGCAACAGAGTATGATAGTTTTGTTCATTTAACGTTGGTTTGTAATAACTAAAACTAATCGAGATATAAATATGTAATATATAATAAATGTCCATCTGTCCGTCTCTCTGCCCGAGTAAGCGATAACTTGAGTAAACATTTAAAAAAGGTCCATGACACACCTAAAAAAAACCGCTAATCGAAAACCAATAAAATGCCATAACTTAGCATTTTATAAAGATATAAAACTTCAATTCGGTAAAGGGGTTTGCATTAGAAAAGGCACCTGTGGGCTAAAAATTTTGAAAAAATGGACGTTGCCCCGCCCTATAATAGGTTTAATGTACATATCTTTTAAACTACAACAATAAAGTTCGCGCAGAACAAATTCTTTAAGCGATCTTACCGACAGTGTAAAAATGGATGAAAAAGGGATTATAACTCCGCCTTCTCCCCACATAACGGTTTTTTTTAGAAACTACTAAAAGCATGATAAAACAATAACTAAACGCTTCAGAGACATAAAATTGTATACCCAAAATGTTACAGTAAGGTTTTATAGGAGGCGGTGTCCAAATTGGACAGTGGGTGTGGCTCCGCTTATATTAAGGTAAAAATCCATATCTATGAAGAACTACTTTTATATATAGAACACGCAGAAAACAAGTTAGTTAGTGATTGGATCATTTTTCTCCGAGTAATCACTACATTAAATTCGAAAAATACTGTCTCGAGAAAAATGCGTTTAAAGTTAAATTGATGGAGCTGATTGAACTAAGCAGCTAAATTTTTAAGACTGTAACTCAAAAACTGTTTGAAATATTGATTTAAAATTTTAGTATGTTATTTTCAAAACAATAAAAATAGGTATAAATACCACAGCCATCCCCCTTTTTCATCAAAACAGATAATTCCACCTTAATTAGGTAGGTTTAGTACATACGATTGTAATAAAGGGTGTTTTTAAACATGAGGTTTTCAAGAAAAAATAAAACTCATATATACCCGACGCGAGATAATGCGCTCATTAGGAGTTTTCTTCAATAAATTGATTGCTCATTGGCTGTGTGGCAGGTAGCGTCGTCTTGTTGGAACCAAAGAGCGTCCACATCAACACCCTCCAATTTAGGCACGAACAAATTATTGATCATAGCTCCACAGCGTTCCTCATTGACAGTAACATTATGGCCTTGGTTCCTTTTTGACGAAATATGGATCAATGGCACAGGGAGTGCCCATAGAGCACACCAAACAGTGGCTTTTTGAGGATGTAGCGGCGTCTCAACAATGGCTTGTGTATTATCATCACTCCAGAATGTGACAATTTTGCTTATTAAAGCCCATTTGTCCATTCAACCAAAAAAGAGCTTCATCGCGGGAAAAATTTTCTTGTGTAAATGAGGATCGGTGGCGACCTCGTTTTGTGCCCATTCTCCGTTATGTTACAGCAGGCAAGAGCATCGAAAATTGTTGAGATCGGTCTAAACTTTCGTTTGGGTTTTTATATATTAAATAAAAAGGTTGTTGTTCCTAGACCCAGATTGACATTATCTCCAATAAATCGGTAAATTTTTGAGAAACTGAAATTTGCTTAACATATTACACTTGATTTGATTTTTGATATCAAAATTCGTTAAAATATCCTTTAGATAACGGCACTACGTAAATTAAAATATAATATATAAAACCATTCCGCACAATTTGCTGCTTATGGCTTTTGGCCAACAACAAAAAACACATTACAATAGCTCGAGTGTGCAAATCACACAAATGCGTGGAAATATATAAAAATGTAAAATAAAAGTATGTATTGTATTAGAGACGCACGGGCGAGTGCGCGCGGGTCACAATGCAAACAAAAAAAAAACAACAACAACAAAGAAGAAAACATAAAATTATGCGCATAAATATTGAACGAGCATATGGTCGTAAACGAAACCGTGTTCATGGAATTTAAATAGTCCATACAAATTGTGGCATAAGTTAAGGTTTTGTTTTTTTTGTTTTTGGTGTTTTCACATTTTACATACATACGTTGTTTGCTTGTTTTTTTAACAACCTTACTTCAAAGCGTGCAACAAAGAGTTGCAACGAAATTTGATTGTGAGAAGAAGGCACTTACACTACAAACACACAGCTATACAAGAATATATACAAACAAACATAAATAGAAAGAAGACAGTCGTTCTGAGGAAAAATAAAAGCGTGTGCATTTGTGCTTGTATGTGTGCGCGTATAAACATAAACGTTTGTGTTGCAAGCATAAGTGTATGCTTATATTTATACCCCTGTATTTACGGTATGCATATTTATGCTTGCGTGTGTGTGTTTGTGTGTCTCTACTTGCAACAGCTGTTCAACGCTATTTCGCCTTTGGTCATAATTCAAATTTGCAATTTTCTATGCAAATTTGTTGCAGATTTCCGGTGAATAATGCACAAGAAAGCACCGCCAACACCAGCAGTGGCAGCAGCAGCGCTAGCGCTCGCCGAAGGAGCCGCCGCAGCAAGTAACGCCATGTGTTACTTTCGCCACACACACACACATACATAAGTACATGTGGATGCATCAACGCCCCAGCGCGCCAGGAGTGTGTGTATGTATGTGTGTTGCAGATTTACAGAACAGGATATTAGCATTTTGTGCTGCCGCCCATCTGGAAGCGCTCGCAAGAAAAATGTTGCTCTCACACACATACACATATAGGTATATATGCAAATACATACAAAAACATAAGTTGTATGCGCATACATTTGTACTTTAAGTTGTTAACGAAAAGAAATTCCCAAGGATTGCATAATTTGCAGTCAAATTAAATGAAGAAAAGGGGCTGCTTCAGACTTCTTCGCACAAGTTTTGAGTAGCTCATGACTTTAATTAGTTGGTTGCAAGTACATTTGTTAAGATTTGCATTCTGCTTTTGGGAAGGGTTGGAGGTAAAATATGCATTCAAAAATTTTTCGTTTTGTGCTGAGGAATATAATATATTATATTTTTACGATTGAAAAATGGCGAATGTTAGTTTTTTTTGCCGAGTAGTAAGCATTTTTTACCATTAAGTGTAGAAGCCGAACTCGACTTCTTACAACCATAAAAGATGTACCATTCCTCCGGCACTACCATGAAGTATTTTGCTGAAAATCAGCAATAGAGTTAAGCTCACGCGCTCGTTCTAGTTGTAATGTATTCGCTAATAAGACACTTTAAATTTGCTCGTGCCACTCTCATTGTTCGATTGTTTGAACGAAGCTCTTTTTTATATCTTTAATGTCATCGCTTAACGTCTTCATGACTCTATGCAGATACTACTTTAGATACCGCTTGCCATTTTCCAACTAGGGTTCAGCATATGATATAACTGTCTCAGTTTTCGAGATATCATACTGAAATTTTGCACCCGTTCGTTTTTCCCCAAGAAGCTGCTCATTTGTCAGCCATTATCGGCTGCCATGCAAACTGACCGATCAAACTCTAGCTATAGATATTTTTTATGCCCTTTTTTATGTTATAAAAAATGCACCTGAAGGGTATTATAGCCTCCGTGCAACTTAAATTAATGCTTTTTCTTCTTTAGATACATATTAAATAAAATTTATTTTCAAAAACAAAACAAAAAACGTTTTTTTACTGACTTACAAGTGGATATATGCCCTTAAGACCGGCAGATTTAGTGCAGAGATACTTTGAACATCACCTTTTAATAAAGCAAACCTTAAGTGGTAGAGAGATATTTAGTTGCTCAGAAAACTCTACCAACCCAAGCCGCATTTTCAAGATCTAATTACGTATTGTGATTTTTCACTATAATATTTCTTCAGTCCCGTTGTAGGATATAATTTATGAGGCTCTGAGAGTTGCGTTTAGCTTTGCGATTCGCCTCCCTTCTTTTATGAGTTTAAAGTCGCGTCACTTCTAGATATGAAAACTTTCTTTTAGAGTGGGACTTTTAGCTGATGACTTCTTCTGGTTAGTTTTCGAGTAGTTAATTTCCCTCGTAAGGTATTTCCGTTTAATAACTTGCAGAGCACAATAATCAATTAATCTTAAATTGAGTAGACCAGTTTTTTCGTGAGTCTGTTTGAAAGAAAACTTAATAAAATCGATATACAATATATAGATATGCATGTACCATATATGAGACCACAAGCAGATATGATTCATTAGATAATACAGTGGTTTTGTTGCTCTATAGTTCAAGAAACTAGCTGTTTTGTAAGATTTGTTTTCGTTTATTTTTAAATTCTTATTTTCATTTTAGATTACAAAAATTAGACAAAACATGAATCAAAAAACAATTATATTTATTTAGAATGTAAGTTTTTTAGGAAGACATTAAAAAGAAAAATGTCGAAAACATATGCTTTATTTCAATAAAATGCCTTTTAGCACTTTTTTTTTATAATTTTTCAGTGGCCAACTTTATGGCGACTATGGGAAGTGTTGCTCCAATTTCATCCGATTCGAATTTTCGGGCTGTAGATGACAGATTTGCGACAAGTTTTATTCTGATAAATTAGATGGAATTTCAAAATTTATTTCAAAAGAAGTAGGCGTGGTTGTCATCGGATTTCGTCCATTTTCACAGTGTAAGTTATGAATATTTCGATTACATCACGCATCAAATTTGGTTGAAAGCGGTCAAGTATTGTAGTTCCTGCAATATAAGATTTCATTTACCAAGTTTCATGAACTTTATATCTTTATTTTTACTCAAGTTTAGGCACAGGCAGTCACTCGGATCTCAACTCGTCTTTTCATTCTGACCATTTATATATATATAAATCGATATCTATTTCGATTAGTTTTAGGTGATACAAACAACCGTTAGGTGAACAAAACTTGCAACATCTTGCGATAGTATAACAATACTGTTGGAGAGGGTACTAGAGTCAACATAAATCAATGGCCGGCATAAGAGGAACTGCGACTGTTTATGTAAGCACGAAATTAAAGCCACCCATTGAGAAATCTGTTAACTTAAATTTTGTGAATCTTTTTCATTCTTTCTTTAAACAAGTACTTTTTTGCTACCTTTTATGAATTATTTTATATATTGTACGATTAAAATAAGTATATTAGTCCCAAAAAACCTTCGTAATATTGTCTTTAAATAACGTAAAACACAAAATGTAGTTCCTAACAATATAAAGTATTCATAATGACAAAAAATTTTGTGCAGTGCATGCATTTCCCTTAGTGGCATGACCAGGTAGGGTACGTGTGCAGTTACCTTGCACATTTGTGCTATGAAATGCCGACCACTGACTTAAATGGATAGAAAGTGGCTTAAGAGCATCCGTTAAGGATTTATCTATAATTATAGGCAACCTTTCTAGATGTCGAGCAGCTCGCTGTTACAACCTTTGCTGTAGATATTGCTTAACTCAATTAAGAGCCTTTAACTTGATCCACATATATATTTTTTCGTTTAATAACTCGTATCTGTGTCGATTTCCTCGGATATCTTATAGCATATCAGCGAATCTGTTTCGGTTGAAAATAAGCTCAACTTCGAGTTTCCTGTCTGGCTCTGATTTCCGTTTTCATAATAAAAATAGTGAGGTATTTATTTTAAAATATTTAACTTGACTGCAATTGTGTTCTCCTATTCATAAAGCCAATTCTACATACACAACATATATACTCATATGTAAATACTCACTGTAAACAGCGATTTCGGTATTTAAATACGTAGCTTGCCAGTCAATCAAGGTGTACGAGTAATTTGCTTTAACATTCAAGCGGTACTCGTATCAATAAAATTAACGATGTCTTATTTGCACTCCCTACTCTTTTGCTCAGAGCACACATGCAGAGCATACGCACAAGCATACTCTGGCGTGCGTGTGCAAATATATCCCATTAGGCGCACAAGTGGGTGTGTGTTGTGCTTTGTAGGCAAATATAAAAGTTTCACCAGCGAAAATAGCGTAATTCGATTTATCTTTGAATTATCTAAACTTCTAAGCGATTTAGTGATTCGTTAAGCCAGCTGGCAGCCCTCGGGGCATGTGCGGTTAGGGGGCACAGTTCTCGCAAAAGCACTTAAAGCTTTGTATCACCTGAAGTGATTGCACTGAATTTTATGCCTAATAAAGCGTTTCCATTATTTGCTGAAGTGTCTTTGCGAGTAGGTGCACAGCTTGAGCCGCATATAATCGCGGAGTGCTGCTTAAGTCTCGCTCTCAACCGGCGGCTGTGTAAATAAGCAATCAGAGAAATTTTTTACAAGTTTGGGTACAAAAAGAAAAGTAAAGGAAAAAAGAAAATTTGAGAAACAAATAAAAATCGCAAATCTATAAAAGAAATCTGCGCAAATTTCGTTAAACACGTGGGTAAATAGCACGTACGAAATTGAAGCTTTACCATAGAGGTACTACAACAAATTTACATATGAATTTTAGCTTAGCTATTGCGTTGATAGCTTTAATCACGGACTCTTTGAATCACCGGTGATTCTTTTAGAGCTTATATTCTATTCCGTTCACTTTAAAATGGACAATGAATTTACCTATTACCGCTCTCAGAATCTGCCTCCTTGCTTTTCAATATAAGAAAGATAGTTAAAACACAAAAAAAAATATTAAAAACAGATGCCACCAACATATTTCGTACAGAACGTACGCACATATATTTTTCCGTCGGATCGAAACAAAATAAGTTAAGTTTTAACAGCCACAATACCTTATTCCAATTTTGACGGTCTTTTAGGCAGTCTTAGTATAGGAGTTTTCTTAGCTGAGCGTGCCTTCAAATTCTTTCAATTAACTTATTCCTTATTGTCGGACTAAACACCGATTCCCGCTATACTTGTATATTCCTGAAGTTCTTCGATGCGTTTTTCTTGATGTACGAATTAAAAGGTTTGCTTACTGATCCGTTCCTCCAGGTGTCCTTAAAGTGAAGTTCAGAAAACACTCTTTTGACAAAGCAGTGCATTCATTCAGTAATTTCTTTATTATTCTATGAACAGGGCATATTAAAATTGCCACGAAATTTGTAACACCTAGAAGAAAATGTCGAAGTACCTATAAAGTATATATACATACTTGTATAATATAAATGACCAGCATGACGAGCTGAGTCGATTTAGACTTGTCCGTTTGTACATACGCGAACTAGTTCTTCAGCTTTTAAGATATCAATCGGAAATTTTGCAGACGTCCATTTCTCCCCACGAAACTGCTAATTTGTCGAAATCGCCAATATTCGACTCCTATGGCATATGTTTCCATACAAACAGAACAATCAAAATCAAGTTCTTGTATTAAAAATTTTCTTATTTAACAAGATACCTTCAAGAAATTTGGCATACATTATTATTCAAGGCAACACTACCGTCTCCGCCTAAGTCCCTCTACACTTTTTTCAGATCGGACCAGTTTAACATATAGCTGCCATTCAAACGGACTAAAAAAGATCTTTGCAAAAGATTCGGCATAAAATATTTTTCCTCATTAAGTAATCTTAATTCGACTTGAAGGAAAAAAGGTAAAACTTTAGCAACCTTTTCCTCGGTAAATAATTAGCTGTCAAACTGATACTAATAGTCATCATTCGGACAAGCATCCCCAGAATGTCAAAAAATTTCACTACTCTAAAACAAAACAGTTGAAATAAGCTACACCTTTACTAGGTGGTTGTAATTTTAACTCCATTCCTGGAATGCGTTTGGGTGTTAGCAGACGAAAGGAGCATTTTGCAAACTTAAACTACCAACGAAGATTTACCACGGCTACGAAAACACCTTTTTGTACCGGTCGATAGCTACGGTCAAAGCATGGTTTGCGTACCGCTAATATGTATCTTAACCATGAGTGTTCCTAAGCTCTATATATTCAGAAGTCAGACAAAATTTAAGCAAAGGCAATCTGCTTCTACTGAAACCTGTTAAATTAATTTAAAATATCTTAAAGGGGTTATATCCACTTGCAAGTCAAAAATATAGGCTTTTGGGATTTTTTTCCGAAGCGGTATTTTATTTTATAAATTATTAAAAATAATGTGCATTTACAAAATTTAATTTACTTTAATAATCGGTGATTAATTTTGAAAAATTATGAATTATGAAATTTTTCTCACCGACTCTGAAAATAGCGTTTAAAGTTTTAGTAGAAAATTTTCAAATTGGATTTTATTAAATACACAAGTGAATACAAGCAATTATCTAGCACTACCTCCAGGAACTTAATCAAGACATAAATTGAAGTAGCTAGATAGATTTGTAGAAGCAACTACAAGTGGTAGCAGTATCGTAAAGGAGACTATGCAATTGGAATTCTCTGGTCGGCAGGAACAATCTTCAGGCAGCAACTGTTCAGAATTGAGAGGAGACTTAAGTCGAGTCAGTCGGAATTAAGTTAAATGGAGAACAAAGTTTTAGGAATTAGCATAGGCGACAATAAAGAACACGAAGGGAATAAAGCCAGAGAAAAAAGTGGAAGAGGTAAAAAGAACAATACTAAGGATAAGAGAATACAGGAAGATGATTGTTTTGTCAACGAGCTTGATTTACGAAACTAAAATTTAGGTGGCTATGATGAAGAATACCATACGTTGATAACCACGTTGTTGACAAAAATGTTAAAAATGATTTACTGCATTCCAGTTGACTTATTGAAAAAAATAAGAAATAAATTTCTTTAGCAATTATCAAGCTTGACAACAATTTGCACTTTAACACCTTTTCCACAAACATTTCTTTATGAATATTTCCATTGCTAATTTAGCGCTTTATAGTTGAAAAGTTTTGCGCGCAGCGCTAGAGATAGAAGAGAGAGTGGGAGGGGTTGTCGGCAGCGGTATAAGAAATGGTGTCAGCAGCAAGTTGGGCCTTAATCGATATTCAATTTAACGCTTGCTTAATCGACTTGATTGCAATTTATATCCATCTCTCAGCGTATTGATGAGCTGGCTGCGATAGAGGAGCGTTTGTGTGCGGAGCCTTTTTTCGCGGTTGGCCTGCTTATGCTGGTATCTGTACTAGAGCAAACTGCCCGCATGCATACAAATATATAAATATGTAAGTGTGTAGGTGCTGAAATAAATATATTCCAATTAGTTTGACCTTCAGTGGCAGTGAACTGGTTCCCTTTGGCCAATCAACCGCATTTCCCTGTTGCTGGCTTATCAGCGCCAGCGTCCGTGAGCCAAATTTTCAGCTACGATAAATGAGTTTCTCAATATTGCCAATATACAAATTACAATACATATATATATATATATATATATACATAAGTCGATATCTTCTGCGTGCTCATTTTATGCGCGCGAGTCACGCACGACCTCACCGACTGACATCCGTTTATGTTCCATTT